TCTTTCTTCCGAGGAGTGGCTGGTGCATTTGAACTGCTAGCCTTCTGGTTAGCAGTCAAATGTCTTAGGCACTCTACCACCAGAGCTACCTATGTCAAGAAGAACGCAATACATTGTGTCACTGACTATAATAACTGTGTCAGGTTAAGCCAAAATGGCATCCTAAGGGACTTTTGCACTTCCTCCTAGCCACAAACTAGTCAGCCATCCCTTTTATCTATCACCTGTCACATTTTCTGCTTTCATAAAATATTATCCTATGTGATTTCTGAATAAAACTCTTATTTCTTCCTTCTCAACTTTTGGTGACAGGTTTCATGGCCAACTGAGCTTTCTTTCTTCTCTATAGTCCAATAACCAAACAATCCATAAGAACTATGCCCCTGAAGAGTGTCTATATGTCTGATTTTGGTATTCAATTCATGCTTAACAACTCACTGACCTCATTGTCCCAGGACATCTTACCTCATTCAAATTATGACTTCTAGTCTATCTGCATCAAGTTTGCTCATCATATTGTTCACAACTTCTAAATTCTTATTAAACAGTTGGCTGTTTGATCTGTCAATTGCTGAGAGACATGTTAAAATTTCTCACTATTTTAATTTGTCATTTTCTGCTTATAATTCTTTCAACCTTTGTTTTATGTAGTTTGAGGCTATGTAAATATAATTTCTGGGGGAAATCTCAACCTGGGATGGCATTCCGAGGTTACTGTTGTACTCCCTTCTGACCACAGAACACACCACGGGAACATGATCACAGAAGATGTCATTGTTGACATCCTACCTTCATATAAAGCAGCCTCATAAGATGATATGAGGCATCCTCCATATGTATCATGAACCATACCTGTCACAGCAAACACACTTTCATTATTCAGATTATACATTATACTAGACTAACTTACATGATTTCTGACTATAGCCCCACATTTAAATGACTAGTTTTAAGATCTTTTATGTTTGCCTTCCCCATATAGTATGAAAACCGCTACATAATCCATGTTTTCAGGTGTATCTACATTGCTCTGCCACCTGCAAAGAGCAGCACTTGCCCATCTTTCTTACCACTGACAAACTCATATTCAACAACTCACTACCCTCTTTTACCCCATACAAACCAAATTCACTGTCGTTGAGTCAATTCTGACTCATAGTGACCCCTCCTTGGGTTTCTGAGGCGGTATCACTATGGAAGTAGATTGCCCAGTCTTCCTTCCGAGGAGTGGCTGGTGGGTTTGAACCGTCAGCCTTCTGGTTAGCAGTCAAATGCCTTAGGCACTACACCATAAGAGCTTCCCTTTTACCCGATAACACCCTATAAACTAGCAACTATAGCTTTCATCTTATCCATATGTCTGGGGTCCCTGGCATTACAGATACCTCAGCTCTTTAGTCAAAACTAGTGATACCTTATGGCTCCACCTATGGCATGTACACATTACACAGCTGAGAAGGAAGATGAAGGAGAACACACTAAGGCCCTTCCAGAAAAGAGAGAGAATCATCCCAGTGGACTTCTGTCTCCATTTTCCTTACCTCACACCAAGAGCTTTCCTAAACATAATTCTAATTGTCTGCTAACTCTCCCCTTTTATGTATTACCTTTTATTCCTGGCCCATGTCTTTTTCCCTTATTTTAACAGCCAGCTACTTTGAGTCCATCTGAAATAAGTGTAGGTGTGAAGGCAAACACTTATCGTGATACCTGCTTCCTGGACTAGTTCCCTTACCTGGCAATGAGAAAATCTTTGGGTGAAGTTTTATCTCCCGCTGTTTTGGGATGCAGAAGCACTTGGCTTTTCCAGTTTATGAAGAGCAAATTCTTGATCTCTGCAAGGACCTAAGGCTATAAGTAGTTGCTAATACCCATATTAAAAAAAATAAAATACTTGTAATCCTAACAAACAATTAAATCCTATATGTTTTAACAAGTATTTAAAATTTAAAGGTAGCGAATTTTCCAAAATACTGTTGTTGTTAGGTACTGTTGAGTAAGCTCCAAATCACAGTGACCCTACGTACAACAGAATGAAACACTTCCCAGTCCTGTGCCGTCCTTACAATCCTTGCTATGCTTGAGGCCATATTTGCAGCCACTGTGTCAATTCATCTTGTTGAGGGTCTTCCCTTTTTTTGCTGACCCTCTGCTTTACCAAGCGTGATATTCTTTTCAGAGACTTGTCCCTTCTGACAACAAAATAAATACTAGATAAAACAAATTATCCATACCCTTCCTCAGGTAAAAAAGGCCAGTTGTATTCTTTGGAATTTTATTCATGTTTACTTGCTACGTATCAATTTTTCTATCAGCTTGAGTGCCCTTGTTTACCTCTCCATGTTGCTATTGTCTATTGACCTCCACATTCACTAACATTCAGTATCCACATGGATGACCCATCTTACACTCAGACTTCTGAGTTACATAGGAGAATGGCTTCTCCCCTTAAAGAATGGCTTCTAGCTGTAGTTGCTCCCTGAAAACTCCCCACCATGTCTCCTAGTTAGATTGGTTTTCCCACTCCTCTGAGCTACTGTTCAGAACTTCTAACGTTTTTCTCAAAACAAGACACATTCTTTCTTGCTGTCAGCTGTCCTCTTCTACTTCATTGAGAAAACAGAAAGTGTCTAAAGGGAAATCTCAATTTCCTGCTTTTGCTGCCTCTTTTCATTTCGTTTCTCTGGAAGTACACTAGATCTCCCTCCAGAACAGTCTTTTGTGTAAGGCCAATTCTTCCAGTACACTTAAGTCTCTCTAAATCTAAAATATTAATTTAAATGTCCCTAGATATCATGTCTCTTTCTCGCTGCAACCCTTTGGAAGAACATTCTATGGCCACTGTCATCTCTTGTTCACTCCCCTCTCCCTCCACAAACTACTACCCCCTTCCAATACCACTGAAACTGCTCTTCCAAAGGTTGTTAATGATCTCTCAATATTTCTGGGTTTAGTGTACTCAACTCATGGTATTTGGCAGTGTTCACCACTCCCTTTCTGGAAGTTCTTTTATTCTTTGACATCTGTGACATTCTCCTTTGGTTCTTTATTTTCCTTCTTCACAAATGGTTCTGTTCTTTGCCTGCTGGTCTGAGTTCTTTAGTTTCCTTGGGAAACCTCAAATCAAATTTTATTTCCAAAGAGATCTCCTTCTGTTTGGTCAACTCTATTTGGATGTCCCACAGGGTCTTCAAACTCAACTCCTCAAATAACACTCATAATCCTTCCCCAACATGACATTCCTGTTTTCTAGCTCATTGATACTCATTCCCTAAACCCTATTTTGAAACTGAGGAGTTATACTGAAAATTCTCCTTTACACTTCACAACCAATCACCTGAAGTCCTATTGGTTCTACTTCCCTTAGTAATTCTCAAAATTCATCTCAACTGCCTCTGCCTTGATCTAGGTTTTCATCACCCATTACCTTCTAACTTGTTACTCTACCTCCAATTTTGCCTTCCTTAATCTTCCACAATGTATTAGAGGGATCTTCCTAAACCATAAGTCTGATCACGAGGCCTTCAGTAGCTTACCATTGCTCTTAAAGTTTCAACTCATTAATATTTACCATACAAAGCCTTTATGTTCCTCCAAAGAATCACAGATGACTGCACTCTTGCTCCAGGTATATTGTTTTTGCGATTCCCAGCAGGTGCGATGACGTTTAATTCATCCATACCTTTGGATATGCTGTTCTCTATGCTTGGAGCGTCCTTCCCTACCTGCTTTGGCTAACTTGCTAAGTGTCCTTCAGGATTCAGCTTATCCGTTCTTCAAGCTCCCACAGCATATGGTGTTTTGCTGTGATCACCACTTTCCATCTATTTCCTAGTAAATTCTTAATTCCTCCACTCCATTGTCTAGCACTCTAGCACCTAGCCTGTTTGTGATTTACTTTCTGGGGTATTGTGTGTGTCCATGCGCGCGAATCTCTGCGGACACAGCGCGGCGGGGCCACAGAAACCGCATTAACTTACAATTAAAAAAAACGCATTAATTTAACTCAGGCTTTTTCCACGGTTACCTTGGGTGTTACCCGGCAGTCAACCACCTCTGACATCTCAAGCAAACCAAACTACGTAAGAAAACACCACTTCCGCGCCTGCGCAGGTCGGGTGCACGCAGACGCAGTCAAGTGAGAACTTTTTTTTTTTTTGCCGGGCTGTCCTTTTCCCAACAAGGGGAGGAGTATACAAAAAAATCACTTCCGGGGAAGTGAAGCCACGTTAGAAAACGGGTTGCAAGATGGAGGCGGCTAGTACAATTGATGAGGCGGTGAGACGCTCCTCTGGGTCTGGGTGAGTGGGGAAGTCGAGCCAAGTTGAGCCTTGAATACTTTCCACCTCTTTTTTTCCCTTCTCAGGTTTCCGGGGAACTGCTGTCTGTTGCACATGCTCTCTCTCTTCCAGCAGAGTCTTACGGCAATGATGTGAGTATGACTCACCCACAGTTCCCACTATTTCTGCAAGGCCTGCCACTAAATTAGAAACCTCTGCCCTGACATCTTCTGCATAACTTCTCCATGCACGCCAAAAACTGCACCTTCTTTCAATTTAGTCTAATACTGTTGGTTCACAGACTCAGGGCTGTCGCCAGTGGATGTGATTCCCAAACTTTCCTGCACTTTGGAATCATTTGGGGAGCTTTTGAAAATCTCAATATCGAAATCATAATCCGTACCAATTAAATTAGCATGTCTGAAAGGGGAGTCAGTAATCGGTATTTTTAAAAGATCCTCGGGTGATTCCAGTGTGCAGCAAAGTCGCACTGCCCTGTGGTGTGCCTAGTTCAAAGGCCTAAAGAGAAAGCACATGTTCTATTTTGAAAAACATGACACCTGGACATAAGCATTGGAATTAATCCCAAATAAGAATGTGATATCTGTTACATGAGTGTGTCAGCTTTTTTTTTTCTTTTTGAGCTATCTGTGGATCTTGCTAAGGCCACCAGCCTTCTCCATGTACACTAGGTCCCAGCCCTCCAGCCCTTTGTACATTTCCTCCTGCACCACCATTGCTTCTCTGTGGGATCATCCTCCAGGAGGGAATCCTATTTCTCTTCCATCTTTTTTTTTTTTTAATT